GACAACCAAATTGTTGGTGTAATTTATCAATCTTTTTCTTCTCTTTGTCTGTAAGTCCTAAAGTTAATATTATTTCTTTGGGTTTCTTCTTAACTTCTTTCTCATCCCATAGTGGAAGGTAATAGTGTCCTGAAGTGTACCTCTTTTCCATGTATCACCTGCAGTATCATTTTCCAAGCCAGTCTCATTGGTTCCTCGCTGAACAGAAGGGAAATAGAAAAAATCACCACATCAGCTGTTATATAGTGTTCACTGGAAATTTGACTTAAACACATTACTGTCACCAAATTTGAATGTAGTTTCACTTACCTTCTCTTCTGTTATCAATTTCTCTTCATCTAATAAAGTCTGTATGTATGAGTTCAACCACTCAGTGCCACACACAGTAGAACTAGATGCTGTGTTAAGGATAGCATAATTTATAGGCTCATTGACACCAACATCTCTTGTATTTCCTCACTTGCACTATTTACATGCACATTTCTCAGATATACTGGAGACAGATGGTACCCTGATCCATATGCATAGCACTTTCTAACATTTCCATACTTGTCTTCATTTTCTTTTTTTAATTCGCACCTTATCCATGCCTTTCCTATACTTGTAATAAGCTGCAATGCTTTTAGTTCTTGTTTCCAGCAATCATAACTTTTGCTTTCAATGAAAACAGGCACTCTTGCTTATCTACTATAATCTTTGTTGTCACTCATATTTTCTTTGTCTTCTTTATTCTTAACACTTATTGATCTACTTCCCCTTACCACAAACCATGCTCTGCTACCATTAGTTGAGCTTATGGATCAATGTTGTAAAGTAAATCAGGTGCCTATGTACAATATTTTTGCTTTAATAAAGTTAAAGTTATCCAAAATCGTACATGCAGACCAGTCCCTTACCACACTACCCATCAAAATGAACTTGTCAAACTTGCAAAGTGCAACAGCACAATTAATCATAATTATAGACAGTTAAGATAATAAAGTTTTAAGCTTGTATTGTGATAAGTGCTTTAATAAAGTCAAAGTTATCCATAAGCATACATTCAGACTGCAGTCCCATTCCGTGTTACCCACCAAAATGATGGTCTTCCTGGTTTCCAGGTACATTTGTGACAGCTGATCAACATCTTTCATCCCAATGTTGTAGTTTGCTACTACCTTGGGCTTTGTTCACTTAATTCTCCAGCAGTTTGATAGCAAAGTGACTATCTTTCTAATGTGGGAGGCAGACAACATTGTCATTGGCCACTTTCCATCCAATGCAGTTCCTTCATGGCTGTCAGGATGCTTTGGTTATCAACATTGCCTCTCCCCTTCTCTTGCATTTCACTATGCCAACTGCCCTTGTCTTCCTTGCCTGTAAATTGTGGAATAGTGAAGAGGAGGAATACCAATTAATGCTGTAAAGTTCATGGTCCTTCTCCATCAGGAAATTTCCCACAGTCCTGTCCCATCTACAACGAGATTGTGGTGGTGTACCTTGCCGCATATCTGTCATTGGAGCACAGTTACTATACTTTGGTACCCCTCCTTGGCCTTCTGTTGATGTACTAGAGTGCCAGAAGGCCCATTGACTTTCATCCATGGTAATGGTCTTGCTGGGGATGAAAACAGAAGTAAATTGCCTTCCCAGGATGTCAAGGACAGGCTTTAATTTCCCCAGGTAATCACCCTCTGGGTGCTTGGACCCTTTGGTGGCGAAGTGAAGCGCTGATGTAAGGGCATCAAACCAATCCCTGGCAGGGAAGTTTGAGGTCTTGAAGAACTAAGAGTAAAAGTTAATAAGGCATTAATGAAATCAAAGGTCAAACTGGCAAATGACTACCATGACCTGTGTTTTTATACCTTTATAGTCACTGCACATATCTCAGAGTTCAGGGCAAATGACTAGACATCATGTCTGTTGGGGCAGAAAATAACATGATACTATGTGAGTCCCATGATATTACCACATGTCCAGTCAGTCACATTGTGTGACATAATGTCATAAGGCATGAGTAATAGACAATGAAAAAATTAAAGTCATAAAATAAATTTCTTAACAGTCACTATGAGGGTATTCCACCCTGATTTGAAGGCCAGAATCATGGCTGTAGGTGTACCCAGTGCAAGCCTACAGAATCCATGAGTGTTATACCCATACCAGTCACTGTTAGGTTTAGTAGCCATTAAGAGTCCATATGTGTGTTATTGCATATGTGTCTTATCTGTTTCATACATCTTCAGATTTTCACATGCAAATTTCTTTTTGTTTTGGAAAGAAACTTGAAATTGATGTGAAAGGGATGAGTAACACTAACAATAATCTCTGTCACTGGTTCAGTAGCCTCGCCTTACATTCCTGGAGTTATTCCTCGACATGACTAACTATGGAATGCCACTTCATGTTCTTTGCTATTCTTACTAGTTCAGTATTGTTTCGTGTCCCTTCTATGTCTTCCTTGAGCTGCCATTCTACTTCAGTTCATTTTTTTTACTTGGGGAAATGCCTTCTTTTTTTTCCAGATAGGTGGTAATTTTTTTGTTCCTTTCCTCTCTTGGTGACAATGACTAAGCATTTGTGGAGCTTCTATGTTTAATCACAATTAATAAACTAAGATGGACTTGTTTCTGTCATCCATCATTTTCCCTATTGTGCTTCTTCAATTCCCAAAATATCAATTTTCATTCTGTTCATTTCCTTTCACCACATGATTTGTTTTATCTTTGTATAGGACTTGGTTCATTAGCATTTATTACTTTTCATGGAGGCTCACAATCCATTGCCATTTTTGTACTTGGGTTTTTTTATGGACATCTTAATAGATGTCCATGAAATATTACTCTTCCTGCTGTCCTATTTGCATGGTTTATCCAACTTTTTCTGCTGTGTTGTTGCTACATTTTTTTATAAAATTATAAAAATTCCTTGCTCAAATGAGAGGATTTGCCCATGCCTGTACTGTAGTAAAATTAATTGTTGAAGATCCACTGATGTAGATTTTCTGGCCTATTTACTAAGCGGTGGATCTTATAGAGCATTTGTATATCTTTTCAGAGAAAAGAACAGATTAATGTAAGCAGAAATAAGAGACGACGCCATGAACCAGATTCATCAGACTCAGACTCAGATGCAGGTTGGCTAAAGGGAGAAGCTATTGCAGTGAGGCAGTGCTTTGGTCCTCAGTGTATAAAAGCAGCCCGGCCAAATAGCAAATACTGTAGTGATGAATGTGGTTTAAAATTAGCAGAAGCAAGGATTTATTCAGTAAGTTTAACAGTTGTTTTTACAAAAAAAAAAAAAAAAAAAAAAAAAAAAAAAAAAAAATATATATATATATATATATATATATATATATATATATATATATATATATATATATATATATATATATATATATATACATTGATTGATTAATCACAGGGCATATGAATCTTCTGTTACTTTTTAAGATACAGTAATGTAGATAATTCATTCATCACCCAAGGTATTACCACAACGTATTCAAGAGTGGAAGATGATGGAGTGTGTAGCTGAAACCCGTGATATCAGGCAACTTGAAAAAATTAGAAAGCAGCAGTTGGAGGCTCGGGAAGTACTTCAGCAGCTTGATCAGAGACATTTGGTAAGAGCTCATTATGTACTGAGAGTTTGAAAAAAAATCTGTTCCAAAATGATTTTATCCTCTCATGATAAACGTATTGATACTATGGGACATGATGATGTTACCCTAAAAGAAACGGAATATTATATTGTCTGTTGATCATGTTTAATAGGAAGATATGATTTAGGTTTCATAGTCACATGTACCTTAATGTTGTAGAATAAGGATATTACAAATACTGTGGACAGATTATTTTGCTTGACTGAATAATAGATTAACTATATTGACCTTATATTTCATTCATAAACAGGATATTGACAAATTGCTTGAGCGAGGAAAAAATGCAAAGATTGACCCTAATGCAGATGATGGCGGCGATGATGATAGTGGAGACAGTGCATTTATTTATTGTGTCACCTGTGGCCACGAAGTGCCTGCCAGAAGAGCAATACGTCACTTGGAAAACTGCTTCAACAAAGTGAGTGCAAAGAAAAAGGGGTTTATTATGTCAAGATCTTCAGAGAGTTATCTTCTTTCTCGACTATTTTTCTACAAATGTCATTAGTAGTTATAGGATATATCTTTTTTTTTTTTTTTTAAATGAGTTGTGTTCATGTTTTACATCCTGGACATGTGGATCTGGCAAAGATTGAAAGCCCTTGCAGTTTGAAGATTTTCATTCAAGAGTAAATATTACACTGTATATACTTTAAATTCCACTAGAAGGGTTCATTAAGACTGAATTTTAATGTTTTTTTT